ATCAAGGGAGCGAGACCCCGGCACCTTGCCAGTCAGGTCGATCGATTCGAATTGTAAGTCAGACAACGTCGTTATCAGTCGTCTGCCAGTGCTGCCGGGCTCATAACCTCTCGGCGTAAGGCTGCCGAGAGCTCAGTGGGGAAATAGATGAAGTCTATCTAGGCATAGAAGATCAATATATTATTGCTCCCTCTGGGGAAGAAAAAGAAGAACTGACTAGGAGCCGGCGTTGAGGTCGGCTCTAAATCTGCGTGGCCGGTTTGGCGGTCACGTGGTAACTGACAGCTGATTGGTCAGACCTGGCAGCTGCCTGAATGCCGTATGGGTCAGGCACCAACAAATGTCAGAATATGCTGGATAAAGTAAAATACATAAAGATCAAAACATATAAGCCCAGAGTTAAAACTCAACTTATCACTAAAGATGGGTTCTGTATCATTTCTCTTAGAGACTGCAATGGCTGGCCCCAAATTTCTAAAGGCTGGATGCTTCTTAATATCTCCACTGCCTCATGTTGCCTCTACTCCCGCATGCTCTTAAGTATTCACCATAACCTGTCCTAGATTACCTCTAATGCTGCCCAGATGTACTACTAGAGTGCCACTACTGTTATTTGAAAGTCCTGCAAAGTATTGCTACTGAACTTGCATATGCCTCAATGGTCTGCACCAATACCATACCTCTCCATATTATCCAGAATGGGTGCTGCGCTTGTCTCATCCATAATATAATCCCTAGTGTACCTGAGATATGTCTTCTCCTACTTCCAAAAGAAGAGGATGCGGAAGTTCACATTAGAGGTGCAAACTGATCTATAATATTCTATAGTATCTTGGATTCTTCTTCCAGGGCATTAATAAGGCTAGATTCAATGTCTACTACCCACTTGGGAGTAGTAAGTGAGGCAAGTTTTTAGAGACTGCCTAGCAGGCAGGCTTTACTTAAGCCATGGTATGGCATGCCAAAGAAGACAACGCCAAATATGCAAGTATAGATTGAGTGGATGTGGTTGGTTTTAAAGGCGCTGTAACTAGCAGAGTAGGCAAGTGCCTAGTATTGAGAAGAAGGCAGAGTGTCAGTATGAGCTTTACAATTAAGCTATATGTGATAACTCTGTGGCATTAGTGGCAGCTATTATAGATGACATACCCTCTTTATAATGATGCCACCTAGCAAATGACAGAGAAAGATAATAGGTCTACTATTAGTGTCTTTAAGCTAATGATTGTCAGTATATCAGTAGATATATTATGGACTCTCCACATGGTAGATATGTAGAATGTACCTGTCTATCAGCTTGTAGCTGGTGCATAAGAGTTGTAGCATGCTACAGGATATGATCAGTGCTAGTGGATTTGCCTGTCAAGGATAAAATATTTACATTATATCCCCATACCAGAACCCGAGCACATTTAATGTATATTGGCAGGAAGTCAGGATGATCTAACTAGCAAATGTTTTCCAGCTTAGATATCTAGGTCTTAACGGCATGACCATTGAGTCCATAGACAGCAATAATGCTACATATATCAAACTTTAGCAAACATGTTTCTTGACTTTTGTGGCTTTTCTATACCTACTTAACCTCTGGTGGCTCCATTAAGTAGTACAATTACTAAATACCAAAAATTTGTTGAATATTGCTCTAAGGCATGGCTAGGTCTAGGAGTTAGGTTAGAAGAGAGTTATAGAAGATGGTACTAGTTAACTGGCCATGTCCCATGCAAGGCTCTTGCTCACTGCAACGCCGGCTGGACACACTTCAGTCCCGAATTTTCGAACTGACCCCCTGAATCCGTCAACTCCTCCATTCCACCAATCCCGATACTAGGCGATCGTGTCATATCTGCTTCATAGCTGGCGGCCGCTTCGGAATGACGCTCGTTGCGCCGCGGGCTCGGACATCGCCGCCGATGGGGAAAATGCCGCAGGGTAGGAGTTGCTCATGTCTCTCAGCATGACCGGCTCAGCTGCAAGGAGATGAGGTTTCGGGCGGCGCAGAGTCAGCCATCGCAGGATCGGGCAATTTCTCGATGGCAAGGGTGTGATTGGGCCGGTGCAGAGATGGTGGTGACGGTGGTGATGGTGGTCGCGGGATGGCAGCGCTCATTGAATCCGGCATGTTCTGAGCTTTCAGTCTGTGGGAAGACAGACTGGAGAAGGCGGGCGTCCTTGCCATCAATCTGATTCTAGACCGGCTATCGAGAGGAAGGGTGACGAAGCATAGGTTCGGGCGGAGAGGCGTAGTCTCGGGGGAGATAAGCGTTGGTTCCTAGCAAGACCAAAATCGAGACCACGGCCACATCGGGGCGTCGGTATAAAGCAGCGCTTGCTTTCCTTTGTTTTTCCTCAGACAAGGCCGAGCAGACATTCGCCTTCACCTGCCCTTTGCTTTCCTCTTATGCAACGTCTCAAACATCTCAACTGTCTCACCTTCTCTTCCAGTTGTTCTTACAGCGCCATGTATGTCACCCTGGAGAATATCACGTACTATCACCCTCCTCTCTCTCTCCCTCCCCCCGCCTCTGTCCCCACG